TGAGTGTGTTCTTACTCTCACGGAACTGGGTTAGTTTTACTAGAGAGCAGATTGCCATAAAAGTGAGTTTAGCTTCCTAGATTCTCTCTTGCTTGCTCTCTTGCCATGTGATCTCTTTGCACAGGCTCCCTCACTTTTTCACTTCTTTGCTATGTTTTGACCCAGTACAAGGCCCTCACCTGAAGCCAGCCAGATGTGGCGCTATGCTCTTGAACTTCCCAGCCTGCAAAATCATGAAGTAAAAAGATCTTTTTCCTTTATAAATTACCCAGCCTCAGGTATTCTGTATAACAGCAACACAAAATGAACTAAGACAGCTAATCTGACGGTGAGCAGCCCCACCAGAAGTCCTTAAGGAAGCCCTTGTAGCTGGGGTTCACCCAGCTGCTTCTTCCGCATGCACGGGAATAGCCTGTGGCTGGAAAAAGAGGTGGCATTTCCTGGCCAACTCCTCAAGATCTGTTCTGTAAATAATGGCTAGAACATAAGCAAATATTCTTGTTAAGAGCTCGTTTTCACTGACCGTAGCAACAGGAGTTCTGGCAACTTTCTTGTTTAAAGCCCTAGGACTTAAAGTGGATCCAGAGATGATAATATAATAGCTGGCAACTATTCATTTTATAACCGCCACTTTGGATTAGTTTCATGCAAGTCAAGGCATTGGAATTCATGTTTTAATCACTAATCCCATCATTATATGCTGAATAAATCTGCAAGTGTACTTTCTTCTACACACATTCTATATACATAGAATTAAAGTATACCACAAATATGCAGAAGTGGCCATTTCTGCAAATAACAATTTTCTCTAAGATAACTGAATATAAATTCCATTCCTTTTTCCTAAAACCACGATAAAATAGACAATATTATTTACACAAAGAACATGAGACTGGAGTTCATGAGATTGAAGGATGTGATGTAAGGAACATGAGATTACAAGCCATTTACTTGAATTTGTATCTCTGATTACTCATTAGAGTATGCTCAGAAAATGGCTTTTCCTCTCAGCTTCAGGATCTCCATATAGTAAAGATATTGGGAAAATCATTTCTAAGTCTCTTCTAGCTCTTTCAATCCAGGATTTTATCAACCTGAAATAAATATGTTTCCCTTAATGAGATCTTCGTATCCTTTATATCCTTTATTTAGCTGATAAAAAAATTAATTAGTTAAAAGTTAGCAAGATATTAATTACCAAAAATATACCTCGCAGGATATTTTTCTAGGCTCATGCTGCTTTTTGCATCCTTTTTAGTTTCAGCTTGTATATTTCTGAGAACCACCTCATAAATACAGCCTTCCTCATGGAGAGGTAGATACATTTTATAAGTTCACATTCCACGAAACTAGCTTATTTTCAGCAGTGCCAGCTGTTGCCATGAGTGCCAGCAATTTTTAATTTGTGCCAGGAAAGAGAATGCAAAAATCCCTAAACTTTTAGAAAATCATTTCCCTCCTTTATCTGTGTAGGCTTTATGTCCTTGACCAGAACTGAAGCATGTCTGTCCTAAATATTACTTCCTTTTAAAATCCTTACCTTAAAGGTCTAAATTCACCCAAAAATTTTTAATGAGTTATTGCTCCATGCCTGGCATTGTACCGGGTACAATGTTCCTGTATAAACAAGGACATTAAAATGTCTTTTTTTCTTAAAGAAGGTACAGTCTAGTGAGAGAAGCAGACTTGTAAATAAGCAATTACTGAACAGTGACAGTGGTAATACAGGTGTAAGGACAGGGTGTTATAAAAGCATAATGAAGGGATAAATAATTCATATTCGTAGGGGATCAAGGTCAGGAAAGACTTCCAGAATAAAGCTGTGCCTTTCCCGAGGTGAGAAGAATTAGTCTAGACTTTGGAGAGATGGACTTTATAAAATGGAAGGAAAAAGGGGAAGAGCAGGACCAGGGGTGGGTGAAGAGGATACATGAGGAGGAGGGAACATGTAGAAACGAGTTCAAAAAACTCATTCGCGTTCAGAAGGGAAGGAGGGCAATGCAAGGGTTGAGGCTGAAGAGCTGCACAGAGGCCCCAAAGGAGTTTGGAGTCAATCCTGGGGACTAGAGAAGCTGCGTCAAGGTTTTGAGCACTATACCCTGAAACTCTAATTTTAGATAATTACTCAGCCTATGGTGGACAAGGGAATGAAGGAGAGAGGACTAAAGCAGGGAGATCAGTTATAATGCTGTTGTAGCCAACCAGGAAAGGATGATTAGGGCTTTGCCAGATGTGATGATTAACTATGGGGATGACAGGGAGAGGGGAAGACAAGGATAATGCC